GATGCCACATTTGAGCTGCACAAATGGCATTCAAATGAACCGCAGCTTGAAGACGACCCACCACACTCGTCTGATGAAGAACACAGTTATGCTAAACGACAGTTGCAAGTTCAGCCAAACGAATCCAAGCTGTTAAGACTCAAATGGAACAAGGACGAAGATACAATTGCAGTACAGTTTCCGACCACAGACTCGGACACCAGCCACACAGCGATGAAACGAGAAGTCTTAGCGACTTTAGCAAAAGTGTACGACCCCCTTGGCCTCGCGTCACCCACAACTCCTCAAGGGAAGCAAATCTATTGTGACGTTTGTGACGTCAAGGCATCATGGGATGTACCTATCCCAGACAGTGTCAAGTCAAGATGGGAGAAGTGGAAAGAATCCCTTCCAGCAGAAGTAAACACTCAAAGACCTTTGGCACCATATCATGAGCAAGTCGATTCATTTGAACTACACGCCTTTGGAGATGTGTCTGCCATTGGAGTCGGGGCGGCGGTTTACTCGGTTGTACGCCAGAAGAGTGGAGTCACACAGTCTCTCGTCTCAGCCAAAGCAAGACTGGCTAAGAAAGATCTCACCGTTCCTAGGTCAGAGCTCGTCAGCGCCCACATGGCAACGAATTTGGTTATGAACGTGAAAAATGCCCTTACAGAGCTACCTGAGCCTGCTGTCTACGGATGGCTTGACAGTACTGTGGCGTTACATTGGATTTTAGGAAACGGTCAATACCACCAGTTTGTTGCGAATCGCATACAAAAAATCAAAGAACACCCGGAGGTCAAGTGGAGATATGTCCCAACCCTTGACAACCCAGGCGATATTGCAAGCAGAGGGGGTCTGGTCACTAACACAGAGCTCTGGTGGAGTGGTCCAGCGTGGTTACGAGATCCCGAGAGCTGGCCTGAAAACCCTGTTACTGAAAAATCAAAAGCTTCAGAAAAGGAGGCTAAAGTCACCAAAGAAGTGTTGAGCATGGCGAAAAGTTGTCTCGAAGAAGAAGAGCAGAACGAATTCGATAGGCTTTTCAACTCTCATGATCTACGACGAGCACTACGAATTCAAGCCTGGATACAGCGTTTCACCACCCACAGAGATCGCAAAGGACCCCTCACAAGTGAAGACCTGCGAGAAGTAAGAGACTGGTGGATTAGAAGAGTTCAGAACCTGGATTAAAAAAAGCCTCAATTTACACAGACGAAAAATGCACTGAATCTTATCCCTAATTCAGAAGGAATACTTGAGTGCCGCGGGAGAATCCAGGGGATGTATAGTATACCTTCCAGCAGACTCCACGTTTACCAGGAAGCTGGTTCAGAGAATCCATGCAAAGACCCTTCACGGGGGAGTATCGCTTACAATGGCCACCATTCAAGAGAGTTACTGGATTCCAAAACTCAGAAAGCTGGTTAAGTCTGTTGGATCAACATGCTGGGGCTGTAAACGGTTTACAGCACTGCCTTTAACAACACCACCCCCCAGACCAATGCCTAGTGACCATACCCTTGGTGGAGCAGCATTTGAAGTCATAGGGACGGATTTTGCAGGCCCAATCCTCTACAAGCTGACCCCTCGACGACAAGGAAAGGCATACTTGGTGATTTTCTCCTGTAGTTTGTCCCAAGCAGTTCACCTAGAGCTGGTGCCAAGCCTAAAAACCAGTGCTTTCCTGCCATGCCTCAAGCGGCTCATCGCCAGGCGAGGACGTCCCAGAGTGATCTACTCAGACAACGGTAGCACCTTTGTGAAAGCAGCTAAGTGGCTGAAACAAGGGCGAGAAGATGAGAAGCTACAAGGCTACCTGGAATGGCACGATATCGAGTGGAAATTCAACCTTAGTCGTGCCCCTTGGTGGGGCGGGCAGTTTGAACGGCTCATCGGAGTAGTTAAGAAAGCTATGCACAAGGTCATCGGGAGAAGTTCTCTGTTCTGGAATGAACTGATCGACATACTTCTCAAAGTGGAAACCCAAGTGAACCGACACCCGCTCAATTACGTTGAAGACGATCCAGATCTAACAATCCTTACACCAGCAACCTTCCTGTTTCAGCCGACCACTCACCTTCTTGAAGAGCAGACCTGGTGCACCCCAGACAAGGACCTGCGCAGACGAGCACGATTCCTTCAGACCTGCAAGGATCACATGTGGACAAGATGGCAACGCAAGTATCTGACAGCCCTGAGAGAGCGCCATAACCTATTTCACAAGACAGCAAACCACAAGGTAAAAGTTCGAGATGCAGTGATGCAGTGCAAACAGACAACAAGAACCGCGGCAAGTGGCCCCTAGCTGTTGTTCAACAAATCTTCCCGGGACGTGACAGCTATCCACGTGCGGTGCAGTTGAGGACAACCAAAGGAGTGATCGAAAGACCAGTACAGCACCTATACCCTCTAGAGCTACAGTGCGAGACCACGGGACCAGCAGCTCAGCAGTTAAACCCTCACGTGTAAAATTTCAGACCTAAAAGCGAAACGCAGCATCAGTAGCTGCAGCAAAAATAAAGGACATTGTGGAGAATGAAGAGAGAGATGAATTTTAGACTAGGAATTAGTAATTGAAAATGAACTTTTTCACGTTATTGACTTAATCAAACTATTTCAGTCTCCTAAGTGACATGCGTCTTCGCATACCAAGTCGCATGGGGGAGTGTGTCGGAGACTGCGTGATTACTTGTGTGACGTTAATTTTGTCAACAACATTAT